GTTATTAAAATAACGGGTTAATGATTAGACATAGATTTCTATTTTTTAAATAACTTTTAAAAATTTAAGAATGAGTAATATTATTTAAATCAATAATAATAAGTGTTAGTAATGGCAAAAAAATTATATTTTTATGTTTAATAACATTTTTTTCGATATTAATCAATTCCATATGACTAAGTTTACTATTATTAAGTTTGCTAAACTTTTGATATAACAAATTTGTAAATATTAAAAAAAAACTATTTAATATTAAAAAATCGAAATATTAGAAAAAGATCTAAAAAGACTTTATTTTTGGTTTGTTCTTTATTCCGAATATATACATAGATACGATTTCAAAATAGATATAAATTGCACATCTATCGATTTTAGAAATAATCTATTTATATATAAACTTTCTCTTTAAGCAATATCTGAATATTTTTGTTTATATCCCTAGGTAGAATAAAAAATATACAAGTTTTGTAATGGTAAGCAATGATTTTCTTATATTTATTTGTTATGCTTAGAAGAAAAATTAATTTTGTAAGTAATTTTTATATTATTATATTAAAAAGCTTAAAAAGAAGACAATAGAAAATGCAATAATTTTCATATAAATTTTGTATCAAATTTATTAAAATTAAGGGAAAAATTATATTATCTAAATTTTTCAATTTTTTATAAATTGTTAAGTTATTTTATTATTATATTTTTAAGCTTAAATACAATTTAATAGAAAATCAACAAAAAAATCATTTATTTGAATTATTTTTATTACTTTTTAATATAATTTATATATAATAAAATATTTTAAAAAAATCTCAATCAAATACTTCAGAAAAACCGTGTACTTTAAAATAATTTTATTTCATTAATACTCCCTTTTTATACTCTTATGAAACATAAATGGATACTACTACCTATAGTATTAATAATTTGAGAATAAAAAATATATCAAAATTATTAAAGATTAAATATTTATTTATATTCTTCCATCTTGAATGTAGACCTACGAAAACAAAATGAAGCTAAGGTTAGATTGAGTTACTGCCTTGACCAGTTGGGAATTATAACGTCACAGAGGTGGAACATCACCACTTTTGTCGCCTTTCAACTATCGCACACATGTGAGTTTTTAATTCGCGTGTGTGTGAGTGTGAGTGAGTGTGTATTAGTGTGTGTGTGTGTTTGTTTCTGTGGTCCATGCCATGTCATTGCCATTGACTTGGTCCTGCTCCTGCTCCTGTTCTTGCTCTTGGTCGTGGTCGTGGTCTAGGTCTTCGTCTTGGTCTTCATCTTGGTCGTGGTCTTGGTCTTGGTCTTGGGTCGACGTCATATTGTGTTTGGCAAATCGTTTGCGATAAAGCCAACTACATAATGTCTCTGTAGGCCACGACAGGCGCTGGCGATGGATAGGGGTTGTGGGTAAAGTCTGCTCCTGGGGGTCCGGGACACATAAAAATGCTAAACCAGCGCTACACACACACATACGAAATACCAATTTCCAACCCCCTGACCTCATGACCCAACGACCCCTCATTTCCTTCCATATGTGGGCCTCGGGATAATGCGCGTTATCCTTGATTGCCTTGATATTGGGCCACGAGCAAAGGCTCCCAGCCAAAGGGGCTATGTATATGCCGCTTAAACTTTACTCTCCCCAGGATACTCTATAAACCAAAATAGAGACTATTTCCAATATAATTTGGTATATTAAAAATCTATGAACTATGTATGTACATATTATTCCTAGATTTAACACTGTCTATTGGAGATTATTTATTTGTATTAAAAGAAAAATTTCGAAACAATAGGGAAAACATGTGGAATTGAGTATTTTCTAGTGAGTTTTGTATTAAGATTATTTCGAACCAATTAAATATAACTAATAAAATATCAACATTCTAAATCTAAACCTAAAAATAAAGTAATAAAAATGTATTGTTTCTTTAAAAGTGTATATTAAACTTCGTTGAGTCACTATTTATATTTTTTCCTTATTCTTAGCCTTGATTATTTCACTTTTCTGTGTCTTTGCCCGTTGAGCCTATCGTGATTTGGCTCTTTTCAGGCTCTGCGCCTCATGGTCCGTCTCCTGCATCCTTCCAACAATTCCTTCTGGCTTCTTGCCTTTGTGCTTTATGCTCATCATCATTTTGCCGGGAAAGAGAATTCGCAACAGAATCAGATATTTTGCCTCCTTCTTGGCGGCTAATTGGTTCCAAAACTGCCGGCCTGTCGTTGGCCTACCGATTCTTATTCTGATTCGGATTCTGGTCGAAATCCCTGGCTAACATCAGGGGGGTTAGGACCGAAATGGGGGGAAATGGAGGGTCTCTCTGAAGAGTCGTCCAGAGGCAACTAGCTAAACAACAATTTTAATTGCGACCAGGCAGAGTCAACGTCTGGGGCTCGGGCCAAAGGCAAATGAGTGAACGCTCCAAGAAATATGAACGAGGTCAATGATTGTTTACACTACCCTCGAATGCTGTTTACTTCGAGCTGGCGAGCAGAGCAGGGTCGGGGAGGGGAGGAGGGAAAAGAGGCAGGAAAATAGAGGAAAATGGGGGAGGGGCTGGGGGGTAAGGTTGAGCACTGTGAGTTTAATTCAGACACCTTTTTTTTGGGCGGAAAATGCCTTTCGCGGAAGCTGATAGTGAGCAAAATGTAAGAAAATGAAGTAATTAGGAAAACATGAAGCTGTAATATTTAATTTTAAGATCTTCACTTAATTTAACTTGTTTTCTTTAAGATTTCAATGGAAATAAATAAGATTTTATGCTTAATATGCATTGGAATTAAAATGAAACAAGAAAGGTGCATGACCTAACTAAGCTTATTAAGACCTAAGAATAAAAATTAAATTAAAGTAAAATTTATAGAAGAAATAATGAATGTTCTTATAATACTTATTGCAAGTACATTTCTGCAGGCTTATTTTAAAAATTTAATTAAAATTGCTTGATAAACACGGAAGTTATAAGCAAATAAAGTGGTAACCCTCTATCTCTTTCTAGCACTGATTAGTGGAGACTCCAACCAATTTTAATTTTTTTGTCTTAACTATTTAGTTCTTTTTTTTCTGTCTCTGTTTTAGTGTTTATAAAGAGCGACAACAACAAATAAAAAAGAGAAAGAGAGAAACGCATAAACACTTGCCTGTACCGCTAAAAATTCTTTTTTTGTTGTTGCCCCATTTTAAAACTTTCCTAAAAAAGTGTTTAAAATAAAAATGAAATGAAATGAAATGAAATAAACTAACAGATCCCTTCATCCATCAATTCCGATTGCCTCATAACCTACCAGATTTCGGGAAAGCAATTAATATTACAGCCACATTCGTTTTATCTTTTATTAATGGTTTCTTTGTAATCGCAACTTTGTATTGTTCAGGAAAAAATACACCTTCAGCAGCACATTTTAAATTTATTTTAATTGCTATTTATAAAGTAGAATTTCTTTGTTATTGTTATTTATAGTTATACTACAGTAGTAATAGCGTTCATTATTCTGTAAGAATTATTTAACGATCACAGTCGATATATGTGAGGGCTACTGTTGTATATTTTTCTTTGTGTAGAAATAATAAATATTTTAGAGATGACTCAAAGTATCGATATATATCGGTATTTTATCAATATCTGTAAGGATTTCTTAACGATTTTTTAAACAATATTATCAATTAATAAATTTTTTTTGTTATATCGAATTAATTTAAAATGGTATATGAAAGGGGGGAAAATAAATATACAGCATTCATAAGATATTATTCGATGGCATCGGTATTTTGTTTTACATGTTTTTATTGTTATTTATAATAGTAAAAACTTACTTAATTCCGTAAGAATTATTTGAAGTCAGCTGTCTGAACTGTAGTCTTTTTCTTATTGCAAACACAATAATAATAATATTTGAAATGACAAAAAATAAATATATATATCGATAATTTATCATTATTGCCCTCGATAAATAATATGCAATAAATCAATATTTTATTTGTTATATCGACCCAATTTAATCCAATAAAATAAGAAAAATAAATAAATAAGAATTACATTCTGCAAACTGAATTAATAGCAATCAACTTAGTAGCGTTAGAAAATATCAACATACATATACCGATAATGTTTTCGCCACGATATTTTAATAATAATATGTATAGTTATAATATTTTATTTGTTATATCGATACAAATTTTAATTGAAAAGGAGGAAAAATAAATAAATAAAATGCATATCTTAGAAATTTTAAAATAAGATCAATATTTGCATATTCAATGCGATTATTTTCTAATTATAAATGATTGATAATAAACATTTATATTAATTTTAAACATAATTTAAAAATTAAACATTTTTTTTCGTTAAATAAATAATTATTATTTTAAATATTTTTATATCAATATTTGCCATTTAAGATATATTCTATTAGGCTCGATATTAGTGTCGATATATCGATCATATCTAAATTTTCCTCTCTGTATAAGTACATTCCAAATCAACATAGCTCAGGATGATAAGACATATTTATAAATATTAGCTTACTGATAACTAAATAATTTACGTTAAGCTAACCGAAGATAAATAAATATGTTTATTGAAATTAATTAATCATTAGGCAAACCCCCCTTCTCTTCCACATTTATTAACATCTAAATTAACCCATAGTTTATTTTACTCAGTGATTAGTGATAAGAAAGTTTATGCAAAGTAGAGATTAAACTGGATTACGGTGGATTAAACCATTCCACTTATTCTTCAAGAGTTGGAGTATATATAACATATATATTTGTATATATTTCGCAAATTGGAAACCACACAAAAGTCATTTGTCTTTGAAATAACCACAGAGAGAAACCCCTTTCCAAAGACACCGCAATTGGAATGAAACAGTAAACCACCTGCCTCTACCCTTAAAGCGATCTGCCTAATTATCAGTTTCACTGTTATATTTCTAAATATATATATATCGAAATAATAATAATGTTTATATAGGGTATATATATTTATACATACCTGACAAAACACCGAAAGTGCGGTCAGTGAACGTTGCGGTGAGTCTTTGGTTCCGCTGTTTGCGATGAGAGTAATCGACGGATTAAGCGTAATTATAAATGTAATTTCCACAGGACCATATATACGTTCACACACACACGCACACACACACCATCAGTACACACACACCCACTCTCAAAGTTTTCGGCTCAAAGGCAAATTGCAGAAACCGTTTAACGCATTAGCGCGCACATTTAATTAGGGCAAAGTGATGGGTATAAAAAAAGGAAAGGGTGGGACACACACACACACACACCGAGGAAGTGATTTAAAATATGCACCAAAACAAAACACAAATAAAAAAAAAACAAACTAAATTAAAGAAGAACGGAAAGAATAGAAAAACAATGAGGAAAACCGAGACGAGTCGCGAGTTTTGTTGAACATGCAACTTGTGCGAATGGCAATCGAATGCCAGCAGAAGCAGCAGCAGCGCCAAATAGCTTTTCCCCCTCAGTCGCAGTCGCAGTCGCCGTCGCCGTCGCAGTCGCAGTCGACGCCAGCAGCGACGTCAATTGAGGCAGAGCGATTGGGCAATTCGAATAATTTACTTTTATTTGCATTTCTTGCAGGTGTCGTGGCCCAACCGATGACTAATTGTAGCTCAAATATATACTATATATATATTTGAAATCTATGTAGCTACAATTCATGGCCCATGGCCTCTGCCTAAATATAGTAAATAATAAAAATTCTGCCGAAAAAAATAGAAAAAGCAGAAACAAACGAAAAATAACAAAAGGCAAATGGCAAACGGTAAGCAAATAAACAATAAAAACCACAGATACACGGATACAACAAATGCAGATACAAATACGGATACGGATACAACTATAAATACAGATATAACTACAAATACAGAGAAAGATACAACTAAAGATACAGATAAAGAATCTTAATCTCGATCTTTATACAACTAAAGATACAGCTAAAGAATCTTTATCTCGATCTTTATACAATTAAAGATACAGATAAAGAATCATTAGCTGTATCTCTATCCGTATATGCAATATGTAATATGTATAGATACAGATACAGCTACAGATAGATACATTCACAGATACAACCTTAGATACGACTGCAAAATCAAAAGTACCGTTACGGATACAACTACAAATGCAGCTATAACTACATATACGGATAGAGATACAACTAAAGATACAGATACAGATGTAGATACAGCTACAAATACGGATAGAGATACAACTAAAGATGCAGATACAGATAAAGATATAGATAAAGATAAAGATACAGATACAGACACATATACGGTTATAGATACAACTACAGATGCAGTTAAAGATACAGATTCAGATAAAGATACAGATACAGATACATATACGGATATAGATATAGATACATCTAAAGATACAGATAAATATATAGATAAATATATAGATAGAGATACTGATAAAAATACCGATACAAATACAGATAAGATACATCTACAGATACAACTTCAGATACAGATAAAGATACATCTACAGATACAAAGATACATCTACAGATACATCTACAGACTGAAAAGTCAATTTTATTGTTACGGATATATGTAACCACAGATACAGATCCAGCTACATTTACGGAGATAGAGATACAACTAAATATAAAGATAAAGATACATCTTCAAATACAACACTAGGAATGCAAAAATACCGTTCATCGGTCTTCTCTATCTATATATCTCTCAGATACGATGGATTACCTTTTCGTCGAATTCCTGCTGCTTTGATCTATCAAGAAATTTCCCTCTGACTATGCTCGGGCCACACATTTTCCGCCTTATCATTCAGTTCGCAGCTTTCCCATATGTTTTCCCTTCTCTCCCAGGAAAACACACACACACCCACCGATCTCTGTGGTTTATTTTTGGTTTTCAGTCTTATCACTCTAAGTATATACCATAAAACTGTATCAATTAGTTAAGCTTTTTATTGCCCCGGGATCATCTTTAGTCAGGCAGATATTTTGGGAATATATATATTTAAATGTATTTAAATATATGCTAATATTTTATTATTTTATTTATATTTAAATAGTTTTTAATGTTCATTAATTGTCAAGTTAATTAAGCTAAGTTTATTTGTAATTTATTATAAATCACTTGCTATTACTTTTCAATTTATAAGTATTTTATTGGATACTTAAAGGATAGTTCTTGAATAAATTCATAACATTTTCATATTTTTTTTTTAACTACAAGAATAATATTGTATACAGTTTATAAAAAAGTTACACATTGACTTACCTATTTTACTTTTTCATGAGTAATATATTCTTATTTTTTCCACAAGACTATTCCTAAATCATGATATATTTAGCGACTGGCATAGTACTATTTTAGCAACAATAAAAACAAATAAATTATAAATAAATAATAATAAATAAATTATAAATAATAATAATAAATATATCTCTTATCATGCACTCATTATCTCAAAGGCAATCCCATAATGAACTCTAATTGTTGATCTTTGTTTTGCCCAATTTAATAGTTCCTTGAGATCTGTTTAAGACTCATTTGTGGAAGATACTTCTCTGGGGGGCCAGACTATTGATCGATGACGACGACAGATCGCCGGATCAAATCGAATCGAATCGAATCGATTCGAATCGATTCGGATCGAATGATTGCTTGGCCTGACCACCGCTCATTTCCTATTTCAATTTGCATTTGCTTCCCCCTCCAATGAATGTGGCGAACGTGCGAAGAATAAATTCGCAATTGCGTACATAAGAGGGGAATTTAATAGGCGCGCCTCCAAACTATGCCAGGCGGAAGGCGGTACGTCCGCGTCATCGAATCGAATCGAAATCGAATCGAATTCGAATTCGAATTCCCAAAAGTGAGCCAATTATAATTACTGTTTATTTATACTACACACACATTCGGCATTCCCTACATAATGTAAAAATGTGGTTAATTCGAATGTTTCTCATTGTTATTTGCATTTCCCCCTCCCTTCAACAATCTCATATTTGCCCGTACTATTTAGTTTTATTCCGGGTATTTGTCGGGTATATTGAATATATACCATCTTGGATATTGAAAACAATCAGAGAAATATAAATACATTTCATTATATATATCTAACAAGCATATAAAATATTTAATTCCCTTACTTTATTTGTTCCTGCTTTTCGCTGTAACCTTGGCAATGCCGGGTATTTCATGGTCGAGTTAATCCACATTAGCATTGTTCTTCTCTGTGGCCCAGCAATGAAGCGAATTGTATAGATACATTCGGATTCAGATACAGATGATGCAGCTGCATATACAGGATCTATTTTGGTTTTTAATCTGGTTGCCTTTTATTATAAATAGTTGGGCTGCCTAGATAAACAGACAATCGCTGCCTCTGCCTCTGCCACTGCCACTGCCTCAGTTGGCGCATCCGTTGGATAGTTGGATAGTTGGATAGTGTCCGCATCTGTGGGATACATTCATTACTAATTCATGTCAAATTTCCAACACCCGCGACACGCACGAAAACCGCAAAAAGTAATCAAGAATTATAAGTCCCTCTCTCCGTACACATCAAAATGAACAAGTAGGAAAGGTATACTCGACTTGGAGATACCTATTGCGAAAAACAAGTACGAAAGCGAGACGGAATTTATAAAAAGAATTTGATTGAATATCTCTATTGTACTCTAACATTTTAAGTACCTTACTTTTGTCAGTTAGGTACAATACCATTGCAGGGTATTCTTGTATTTTTTTTTTATTTGAACTGAGAGTTGTTTAAAAAACTCATACTAAAATCCATTAAGGGTACTTTATTTTTTAAGCAATAGTCCTGAATTCTGTATAAAATTAAATACGTTTGTAATATTCATTGTTCAAGGAAAATACTCTTAAAAAATTTAAATTAAATTTACAATTGGATGGTAAATATGGGAGTTATAGGGTAGCAAATTTGCCATCTTCTATATCCAGTTTGCTCGCTCTCATACTCACTATCATATTCATATTTAGTAGAATCCCAAACAACGGTGTCGTTCTAAATTAAACTGTTTTAATTTGTTTTTCCTCATACATATTAAATAGTATAAAGTAAACTTTAAGAATTGGATTAAAAAATATAAACAAATCGATACTTTTTCGATTTTAGATGTAAAAATCGATAAATAAATTAATCCTTTAACAAGGCAATTAATGTATGTATGTACGCTATAAAAATATATTGTTTAACATAGAGAACTATTAAAACTTTTTTTCATAAAATAAATAATAAATATATTTTAGATTTCTTCCAAATATCGATTTTATCATTATTTTAACATTAAATGCTATATGTTGCTATATAATATACTAATATAATACATACAATATTATATTGCAATATAATAAAACTATATTTTGTAAAGATTATTATATTTAAAGCATGAAATTTAAAATTAAACAGACAATGGGAATAAATCGATAATTTTTCGATATTAGACGAGAAAGGGGATAAAAAAATCAATTATATAACATGGCGATATATGTTTGTATGTGATTTAAATTATTGATGTTTGATATTTCGGTCTATATAATTGAATTGAAAAAATAAAAAATAAATATTTTTTAGTCATCTTTCGTATATCAGTTATTTCAATTGATTATCTGTATGATATATCGAATTAATATAATCAAAAAAAAGAACCAGAAAAATAACCAATTTCATTCACATTATAAAATCAAATTTTATAGTTCTTAAATAACTGATACATCAAAATTTGCTTTATTTCTAATATGATTTTAAGTGAAACATAAAAACCGATATAATATATCGAACTTTTTCTCTCGATATATGTACATCCCTAGTCCTAAGTCAAACACACTCCCACCTCTAGTAGAGTTTATTTAGATAATTGTTGATTTTGAACTTCAAAGGGGAAAATGGGGAAAGCGTTGTGTCGGTGCACTTTCATAATTATTTCGTCGTCAATTTGCCAGACACTCATAACAAACATTTATTTGAGCAAACAAACACAGACAAACTTTCGACATGCAAGGACATCAATTAGTATTAAGTACGACATCAATCTGGTAAATAAAGTTGACCAAACTTGTTACATTCTGTTAACATGTCAGCATGACCATCTCTAGTCAACTTGAAGTTTGCTTTGTGCAAACATTATACATTTATGTGTGCATACGCTGCGTATACGTAACGTCCATGTAATCTCCATGTAGCTGTCTTCGTTGATTGCGCATACGCCACGTGTGCAGTGGGGACTTCCCCCTAA